TTACACGTTGTTTTATAGCTAGTATCTGTATCTGTATTTGTGCGATCATTTCGAGCAGCCGTCTTCCTGCCTGGGTAGTCAAAGCCGCCTTGCAATGGCCACAACTGCTGAAGGGACCGATAATACGGCTTTAGCCCTTACTCGAAGAGCACATGTAAAGCTATTTGAGTAGGGGCAGCGATCCTGTGTTAGTTTTTGCCGCGAGGCGGCGTTGGCGCGCTTCGCGCGGATATCCGGGCTGCAGATCGTCTAGAGAACTGGAGGCGGCTAAAATCTCTTTCTCTCTAGATAAACCCCGCACCTCGTAGAATCGAATGCCTTGTGAAATACAAGAAAGGGTACTAAGATACAAAGATACAAAGATACAAAACACTGCCAATGGGCAATAGTGTTGTCGATGTCGTACAGTTTCCATATGTTCTTCTGCAGCTAGGGGGGTCCGGGGGGATGCCCCCCCCCCGGGAATTTAAAAAAAATTAGGCTATATTTGGTGCATTCTGGTGAATTTTGAGGCCTGTGACCGGTTTCTGGAAACCGGTGCAAACCGGCCTAAATCCGCGCCTGGGCCTGTGCCGTGGCAACAAGGGCCATAGTACTAGACCTAAACTGCACGTGGGTCACAATGTGCACTGCAGACTGTGCAGTGTACTTGCTACACTAAACGGTAAACCGACCAGGCTCTCCGACTGTTACACGTTGTAGGATTGTCTAGTAACGTCGTTACACGTCGTACCCAACGTAGTGTTAAGCGAGAAGGTAATTTGTGGCTATTGCTACACCAGCTCTAGTACTTAGTAGTACTATAGCCCGCGTACAGTTGCCGCAGGGCTATAGAACATCCTATTACGAATGCTCGGGACCAACTTACTCCAGCCGGTCGGCGGGAACTATGTATTTCCGCACGTCGAGGGGTGGGCGTGTTGTGTTGGTTGTGGACAAAAACGTTGTTGTCAAGTAACAAATTAATAATAGTAATTTGTTCATCTTTCATGACAAAACTAATATTACAATCTTTTTTGATCGCTTAATTTGTTACTTGACAAATGTTTTTGTCCACAACCAACCCAACTTGCCCACCCCTCCACGTGCGGAAATACATAGTTACCACTGACTGACGCTACTGCAGCAGCACCAAAAATGGCCGTTTGAAGTTTGTAAATAATGTTCGTTCACAAGAAATACCGCAAGTAGACCATTTCAACGATAGTTAGAGGTTAAATTTTAGTAGCGGATATAACTTTAGACATATTCACTTCGGATAAGAGGCATTAATTGCCTACCACAGATGTTTTATAGCCGCGAGTAACCGTGAATAAGTTGGTCCCGAGTATTCGTAATAGAATGTTCTATAGCCCTGCGGCAACTGTACGCGGGCTATAGTGCTAGAGCTATTGCTACACGTACAATGTACCACTGTACAGTGTACTATAGTTACTAGAGCTAAGTGTACTCGTACTACTACTACTACTACTACTACTACTAGTACAATTAAATGACAATAATGAATGTAAACATGATATGATCATGTATACAGACTATACATACCAGATGGTACCAGATACATATCTGTGGTACCAAAGATGTAAACAACCAAAAGTCAAGCAAAATGTGTACAACTTGTTATAATCTGAAATCTTTTTATTAAGTTTCAGAAGTTTGAACTTGGATTTCATCGTCACAAGCTATTTCCCAAGTCCCTTAATTGAAATAATCAAAAGATAGTTTAGTGCATTTCTTGCCATCTTGGTCACAGGTTTTTTTAAACTAGAAAATTAATTAAAGTTGGGTCGCTATATATGATTATTAAAAACCAGGAACTGAAAATGTCACAGTTGCCAGTATAATAATATTCTGGTTTACTATAATAAAGAAAAATTGACAGTTCATGTGTTATTTGTATACATTACATGCTTGATACATAAAATTATATTCAAGTTCCTCATTTCAGGTGGCATCTAAAGGCAATTTCAATCCCCGTATTAGACAGCTGCAGGATGTTATGACAGTAAGTACATCAGTTCAGCCACAATGTGTAGGATTATGAAGACGTCGGACATTGCAGTGTAGAAGCGCATTAATAACCTTAGTTTATACACAGGCTATGTATTGTCACAAATACAATCTACTAAGAATTGTACATGCCACAGTGTTGCCTTAGGGTCTCTGCATAAGTGTAGTTTTCCATTAGATCCAGAGATCTACGAACGTGAAAAAAAGAACTTGTGAAAAATATACGTTCACACCACATTGTTCATTTCTAGAGACAGGACGGAGTGCCCGTGCACCTAAAGCGAGGGGCAGTGGATCGAATTCTCTACGTCTCTACGATGTGCCTATGTGGCGTGGCGCTCGGTGCAATAGGCTACACACTCCTCGACATGTCGTTCCCAAAGAAACCGGAGTAGCCACTGTCACAGCAGTCATCAGGCAGGGGAGCGAAGCTGGATGATGAGTGACCGTGGAGTCCCCGTGCATTTCTCTTCTCATCTGATTGTCACAGATACGTCCCATTGTACAAACAATATCGTCGGTTTCAAACTTGGTAATGTAATTTAATTATGCTAAGAATGATTAATGAACCAGTAGATTGTATTTAATAATAGACTCTGGCAGCAAATTAGACATTATGTAATCTACTGTATCGTGATTGGTTTTCATATGCCACAAATTTCAAATGACGAACAATAATTCTGAATGTTTCTTTTCAATGCTGTAGTGTATACATTCACGCATAGTAAACATGAAAAGAAATGCTCGTTTAATATATATCTATATCTATGTAATAACCTCGTGATTTTTATGGTGCTACTGTATAAGCTCTACAAGCACAATGACAATGACAATAAGCTATACAAGTAACAAAGTAACAATAGTCACATTTATGTTTACATGTAGTACAAAATTTTCGCCATGTTTAGAAAACCGTATGTCATTTCTATTCTATTGGTTAACAGAGTAAAGAGGAACCAAGTTCTTGTACACAATCTTTCTGACATTACCCATTCTTGGATGTATACCCAACTTTATGACTAGACAACAATGACTAATTATGACTAGACAACAATGACTAGATTAAACACTAATGGTGTCACTTTTGGCTATAGTTCTGAATATTTTCCAACTTTCTTGAGATATACATGCATTTAATATAATGTCATGGTGCAGTCACTAGCAGCCCCATACAGCGTCGGCATAAACACATTACAAAAAAATATATACATTAGATCTGACATTGCATAATTAATTAGATTCCCTTCATTTATCAATTAATTCCTTTTCTTAATCAAGAAAGTCTATCTTTATCATTTAGAAACTCGTACGTATTTGACTAGAAGGTAGCATAATCAGAAGTGCAATATAGCCGATGTTACGATGGACTTTAGGTATAATAGCACGGACACACCTATACTAAAGCAGCAGAATACTCGATCATTCAGAGGTGCACATGACCAGCTGCTTTGATTACTGAGTGTTTTGTGTAGCAGCGATATTACAATCAAGTTTGTAAAACATGGGGAGATTAAGATAAAAACTATCACAGTAACTATTGACTTTTCTCCCATGTCCTGAACAGTTTGCTGTTGTTTGGTATGTGTTCTCCCGGATCTATGTTCACCCTAACCCTAACGGATTAACCACATTCTTCCATTGAATCCATCGTACTGTAGTTAAAAATAATCTGATATCCATAATTGTTCTCGTCATTATATCTTGACACATGCTTGCAGACAACATCCCTAAATATTTGTACTCATTGGAAAACATACTGTAATATTAACAACCTAACCTCTACTTTCAGTATCAAATACAGACTCACAGCTAACCGTTCGCATCTAGTGCATGTAAGCAATAGCCAATAATTGCTTAGCGCAATGAATTTTGTCGAACCATTTCTGTGTAACAATGCAACAACACTTGCCAGACATTAGATGTTGAAGGCAGGTGAATTTTGTGCGACCACGTGTTGACGTGTGAAAAATTTAGTTGTACCCAACAAAACACAATACAGTCCATAAGGTCACACCAAGCTGCCCGTCTTTATCCAAAGCTGCCAGCAGAATATTTTAATGGCGTGGGGAGGGGGGGTGTCCTCATTGGGTGTTGCTAGAACACGGGCGCCGAAGGAGGGTGCTGTTACGTGGCAGCACTAGTCACTTCGTACGCTTCAAAGTCCAAATCTTCCACAGAAAGATTCCACAGTCATACTTCCGTGCTAGACATGGCCTTATTTCCCTAACCCTAACCCTAACCCTAACCCTAATCCTAACCCTAACCCTAACCCTAACCCTAATCCTAACACAAGTGCAGCCACATCACGTGACCCTCCTTTGACGCCCGTGTTCTAGCAACTCCCGTCCTCATTGGCACTTGCAACCTTGCATGCTGCGCCACCTACTGGTTAGACAGGTTCCCAATAGTTTATACAAAGAAAAAAACGCAGAGGAGCAAGTCTAACAGCACCGCCTGTTGTAACAGGGCCCGCTCTGATTGGTCAAAATTTGATCGAATCATGTCGAGACGAACGTGCGACGAACTCCGGCAGTTGTGCCGAGCGGTTGAGATCTAGGGGGCGCCACCTGTGATGCGATGGTCGACACGCCGCGAAGACAGCTCCGGCTGCTCCGGCGGACGAGAGCCTCAGACGGTGTAGAACTGTGTGGCGGCGGACGACTGCATCTCGATCTGGCCCATCTTGAACTGCAGCCGCTTGAGCCAGTGCAGCAGCACGGTGGAGTTGTAGGCCAGCTCCTCCTTGGTCTGCACCGGCGGGATCCAGTTCTGGCAGTTCTGCAGCCGCACCAGCATCTGTCCCGGCAGCTGCGTGCCAACCGCACACGTTATCAGGAGTGTATAATATAGTGTAGAGGATAATAGTGTATAGTGTAAATACACTATATGACACTTTATACACTATATGAATACGTGTATAGTACTATAATGGAGTGTATATCTATATTATACACTCCCGGCATTATCAGCGCACGTAAGCACGCGTGAGAGCCGGGAGACCGGACCAGCACAACAGGACACAGAGCCACTGCCCCAGCTCGAGGGTTCGGACCAGCTTATCATTCTATACCATTGGTAGCAAAGTGATAGGGCCCTAAGTTTAGCAGTGAACTTATCATGGCATAGTTTCTGCCTAAGCTGAGCTACTTTCACCTCAAGACCTGAAAGACTACATAAGATTATGAGGCAAGTGGGGGGATGCACTGGCCAAACCCAAAGAAAGCCAGAGTAATACGACGTTGGTTATGTTAACGAGAGACTGTGTAGGCAAACGTAGTGGATAACAGCACTGATGCGAAATGTAGGTGGTATCAGAAATGTAGAATTTATCTTAGCAGTCAGAGTTCAAGAAGGCACATCACAAAGCTGTCATTCATCATTGTACTGAGTATAAGAACATAATAAACAATAAATACTAACTAGGATAATTATTAAAATTTAGTTCACCTACCTGAGAATGGTAGCAGTGCAGTACTGGACCCCACATGGGGAAGAACTATACATGGAAAAAACAAAGCATTTGTCAGTCAGGTGCGTTTGTAATTATATATATATGAGTATATCTATACATTGTATTACTACTGTACAATATATTACATAGTATCACTATGCAATGTGAATATTATCATTATATGCCACCCTGCCTGTCTAGATAGCCATTAAGGGATATTCCTCGAACTTTCAAGCAGGCAAATCATAAAATCAGGCCAAAAATAAATTATTTTAACATTGCTATATGTGACCCGCTCCAGCAAAACACCAGGATTAAGTAGGAAATTCTACAAATTGAGTTTATGTGCATATGCTGAATAGATCATTTAATGACCTTTAAAATTGATATATAATATATTGGCTGCTATCTAAAGAATTGCACTGATCTAACCAGCCAATTTGTGAAGATCCGGAAACCGACTTCTTCCGGAATATGCTGGAGCGGGTCACATATATGGCTCGTCTCGATAGGTAAAAAAAACATTGCTTCAGGGAATACGATTCAGTCAAAGCTTTTAGACTACAAGAACGTGAAAAGCGTTGGCGGGTCGAATGCATTAAACGCCGTTTACCGTGTGCTGCTAGCAGCGATCTGGGCTGCGCCACACACTTGCCGTGCTTAATGCTATATGAACCGGCATGCTATTAACCGTAAAACTAGAATAACGTGCGGTCGGGACTAGAGGGCCGCAGGTGCTTGTTTTTCGGCACATATATAATGTTTTTTTACTTTTTCTTAGTCAATGTTTAATAATGCTGAATGCCAAATACGATGTATGCAGGCTCGTATGTGCTATGAGATTTTTTCTCTATCCAAACATGGCCCACCCGAAAAATACAACTATTTTTGCTGAATAACGCGATAGTATTGTATTTATTTACCCCAATATGTATTGGAACAACATGTATATAAAACCTTGAGGTATTGCGCGGACATTTTGGTAACCCAATACCATTACTCCATCTAGTTGTAGCTTCTTGAGATATGAACTTTTCAGTTTTGTTCTTTTTACCAGCGATAGCCAGCAATTCCCAACCGCCGTGGACTAGTCTGGGGCTATGTTCAGCGGACACTATATAACATGCTTTTCAAAATTCCCTCAAATTTTCAACCCAGTTGTGTTCCAAATCTGATGTATGCCAGCTTAATACAGGTTGAGCATTTTGCAATAAAAACAGATTAAAAATGGTAATTAGACATCATATTCAGACAGGTCCGCTTAATACTGAACAAAGGAAATGAAGATAATGGACAGAATGGTTCCGATCACTGCATTCAACAAAGAAAACAGACGGAGTCTTACTTGAAGCACAGCGAAGAATGCCTTCATCTCAATTATTCAAAAAGCATCTTCGAATCATTCAGGATCTTCATTCTCCTCATTCCCCAGCTTAGTTCTTCCTGTGTGGTACCCTCTTCACCACATTTTCGGCAGGCTTTCTGTCACCTCTGCATTGCCAGCAACCCGTACATGCTAGACGAACTGGTACAGTTACAACATTGCCTGATTTGCAGCAGATTTGCAACCACAGCTTGCATGAGATGTGAATACCTTTCATTCTGGGCAACAGATAGGCCTGCGGAATGTCTTCATAGCATGATATATACAACCATGGAGCACGTTAGGACTTCTTCTCCCATCAAAGTTTGAGGATCTAGAGCTGGACGGTGACGGGCATCCAGCCCAGCCATTCCGGAACTGTCTGATAGTGGCGCACGCCGTACAGCTGTGGTCTGAAGAGGTGCGCCATTGTTGGTGGTAGAGGCTCCCAGTTTTCATGGCTACATGTCTTTGCCAAACTAGCGTTGTCGTTGATGAAAACGCAGCTGCTCGGCATTGGTGTTCTGAGATTATGTCTTGCTTCTGTCGGCTACACCATGCCTCATATCCCAGACATAGAGGTCGACGATTGTCATTCAGGTGAAGTAGCGATGGACTCCTGCCTTGCATATGTGTCCAGCAAATGCTTCCAGATTGCCGCTTCGAGGCACTGATTGCCTTGCCACAATTCAGCAAAAGCAGGCGATACGGGATCGGCAGACCAGTTAGGCCGTGAGCGCCAGCGAGTGTGGACATAACTTGCTGCATTGCTTTTTACAACTTGATTGACCATCAATCATAGAGCCGATGTTCTGCCGCTGATGACTCCATAGAGATGTTGTACTGTGCTTGGGCGCATGTCGTTTTGTTTGCACATGATTATGATGGTTAAGCAGGGATTCACGGTAAGCGACATCCTGTGTCGTCGCCGTCAGGACACAACTCTTGATAGATGCAATGCCCTGCACAGCTTTTTTATTGCGATGAAAGCAATGAGGATCGTCAAGCTTCCTCAGTGTGTCACTAGGTGTCGAGCTGGTACCAGTACCTGACCTCAATGTGACGCCAGCATCAGGCCGCGTGTCACGAATGATCGTTCTGCCCTCGTCGGTGGAGACGTCAGCACAGAACTCAGGTTCATCTACGAGTCATATCGAGTGCATCTGCCTCTTTGTTAAGCTGCCTAATTCAAGGGTGAGCACGTTTCAGCTTTTGGTAGTGCAGCAATCAGGTGGTAATGTTTGCTACACACGGAACTGACACGTCTTGCACGTTAGTGCAGCCGACAGCATGGACTTGTATGCTCGAGTCACATAGTATCTGTCAAACAGCTACATCGCAGAACCTGTGCCTACCATTCACGCATGAACGCCAGTTATGCGAGCTAACACCAGCATTGGAACAAAGTTGACACCTGAGGCCAGAGGAGACTTGTCCACAGAATTGCACAACATCTAGAATAACATTTTCGCAAGGCGCGCTGTGTTCTTTGACTACATTCTGACTTTGTTAGAACTGTGGACTTCAGCAGATAAGGTAGTTGGAGCGTTGTTTTCATGTCACGATTAGCCCATTGCAAGCAGAGCAGATGCGAAAGGGGAGCTGAGTTCATAGGCAGAAGCAGGCATTTTGGTTAGAAATGCGCGCTTCTGGCAAGAAGCGCAGTGATTCCAATGACGGTCGGGCTCCCATAGATGAGGTTCGAGTGTTCACGCTTCTCATCGGAGCGCCCGGACTCTTCATCCTTGCTGCGTTTTGTAACGGCTGAACATTGGTTTGACCTTCTTACAGATCTTGTTGTCTGAAATTCCCGCTGGCCACCTGTGCTTCATACTTGCCAACGCACTGATGCAGTTGCCCAAATAGTTCACGGAATTCATCAGCGAGTTTGGACACTTGCTTGTCATCCCACAGCCTGACGCAGAGAATGATGGTTGACAAGACTTTCCAGTTGCGTGTGCCGTGCGCTCACTATCAAACACATCAATGCATGTGCCACAGTGCCTTCACGAATCTTTCAGCTCTGTCAGCAGCTCTCGCTTCACGCCCTCGTGTGTGTCGCTCCTCCTTATGACAGCGTGACACGCTGTCATGATGTTACCCATCCTGTAGCACTTCCAAATCCCTCCGTCAACCTGTCCAAACATGCTAACGCTGATAGAGCCCAGCATGGCGAGAGTACAGTTCATTCAGGCGTGCGAGCCAAGGCATACCAGAAGCGCCCTTTTGCCGCTAGCACATGTACGTGTTGTCGCGATGAAGAGGTCTGACACAGGACAGTGTCAGAAGACCATCTTGTCGATGCCATGACATGTTCTCCACGTCAGCAAACTTCTCTAGGACATCTGGCATGAGCCGCCTGCATAGAGCGCCAGATAGTACAGTCTCATACGCTTGGCCGTAATTAACATGTCGCTGCATCAAAAGAAGCAAGACCGCCTAGCATTTTCTCCAACTGCAGCACAGAAATTTGAAGTGGCGTCAATTGCGCTTCTCTTTCAGCACGTACGAAAGTCATGGATGCATCGAGGACCAGGCCCTTCATTAGGGCAGTCAACCCACAGCTTTGGTCTGTGCCTACTCGCCTACTGATAGTTCCAAGTACCTGTTCATGCAGCGTTCCGTCCAATGTTCAGACATTCCTTTGTCCTTGTCAGTAATGACCCATAGTAGTTCGTTCCAGCCACAATTCTAACGCGCCTCGGATGTTTTCTCGCAAACGTCATTGCCAGAGACAAGCGTTTGGCACCGACCGAACAAGATGTTGACTTGAGAATGTCTTCAAGGCCGCTGGCCAGCCATCCAAAGGGCCCTGCTGCCCATGCACAAAACTCATCAAACGACTCAGTGCGCTATACCTCCCTATACCTTGCCGAAACCTTGAGCCGAACGAGATCTGGGCTTCATTCAGTTTTGGCTGCCACTTTTAATTGTTTTTATTCAAAAATGTATTCAAACCTGTATTACACTGCGCATGACACCCCAGGATTTGGCGAACCAGCTGTTTTTAGAATTGTGTGGAGAACATTGTTAAAACAGTGTTAGTATATGTCCCTGAACATAGCCCAGACTAGGTTGGGGAATTGCTGCTATCGACCGCGGGTAAAAAGAAGAAACTTATGAATAAGTTCATATCCTCGAAGAACTGACACTAGATGCGAGTAATTGGTATTTGGCTAGCCCAAATGTCCGCAATACCCAAGATTTATATAACATGTTCCATACATACTGGGCAGCGGTATAAATTACAATATTTGTCGGCCGGTTATTCACAAAAAAGATGTTTTTCTGGGGTGGCATGTTGGATCTATGAAAAAAATGCGCGCTCAAACACATACGAGCTGGGCGCATACACTCGGATTTGCATCAGCCACCATAAACACTGACAAGAACAGGCAAAAAAACATTATATATGCTCGAAAAAAGCAAGCTTCACACTATTCATGCACCATTACCCCGTAGCCCGGACTAAAAGCGGCAGTTGTTGCAATACATGTATCCCCGTGCTTGCTCCGGCCAAGATGTGTAGCAGTATACGAAGTTGTCGCCGCTTAGGTCAATTAGGGGCCGCAGGTATTAGCCAGCGGAGGGAATATGATGAAGAGTCAAGGTTAATGTGCGAAATAAAGGTGCAGGCTGCGACCTCTGGTTTTGGACGCCGCACACACCTTCCTCCCAAGATGTGTTACAGATATACCACAGTTCTGGTAGCGGCTAGGCTCAAGTACGCGGCCGAGCTTATAAGCAGCGAGAGCGGGGAAATATGAATCAAGGGTCGACAAGGTAAAGGTCAAATTAAAGGTCGCTAGTGACCTCGGTTTTGATCAGGCTAGGTCAATTAGGCGGCGAGTTAGAGACAGAAAGGGAAATGATGCAATCAGGTCAAAGTAAAGGTCCAAATAAAGGTTCGCGAGCTGACGCTGCTTTTGTGTTACGCCTGCTCACCTTCTCCCAAGATGTGTAGTATACAAGCTTTCGTAGCCGCGTAGGGCTCAGATTAGGGGGCCCCGACGCGTTCAGAGCACAGAGGAGCGGAAATAGTGCCATCAAGGGGGGGGTCCAAGGTCAAAGCGCTCAAGATACAAATGCGTCGCGCGGCAGTGAACGCTGGCTTTTTTGGTAGCCGGCTGCCCTGCACCTGGGTCTCGCCAATATGTGTAAGGGTATACCAATTGCGGTTTGGTTGGACTAGGTGGCGAGGAGGTTAGGGTGTTGGTTTGCCTTATTTAGTATATTGCCTGTCTGGAAGTAGTAGAGATATGATCCAAGCTCAAAGTACAAGTTCGCGATTTACCTTGGTTGGC